CCCCAAAACCCCAAAACCCCAAAACCCCAAAACCCCTTTCTTGATCTTAATAATAGAAGTAATAAAATAAATTAGAGATGAAGACCCGCTTGATATTCATCTTAGTCCTTTATATGACTTTATGCATAGCAGATCAAACATGTTTGGAAAGGTTCAACGAGTTATTAGAATATGACACTTCAAACGACGATATCATGGATGATAGAGCGTATATATTTCATGTCGCCATGGCGAAGCATAAGCACGATCTGGGGAACTATCAGTTTTGATCTGAAAGAGGAGAGAAACATGATCTTAAATACTCCCTCCTTGCACTCAGAGTTTCCGATACCAGAGGGAATGACAGGTTTATCTACAGAGGCAACTGAGTTCCAAGTGGCTGCACCAGCGAAGAAATAGAACGAGCATTTTATGGCATGATGGCTAATCAGTATCGGACCTCATATGCTCAGAGTATAGATCTTACTGCTACTTTCCCTCAGTATGAGGCTCCACAGGTCAATATCGGAACTATTCTGTCTCTTTGACTAGTTGGGGTTCTTATTCTCCTAGTCATTTTTGGCACAATCGTTGATAGAACAAGTCTATTTAAAAATCCAAACTATGAACGACCTGTGTACAACCCTGATGAGGAAGAACCTGTGGAAGACCCTTCAAATGACTATCTAAAGAAGACCAAAATAGGGAACTTCATGTCTAGTTTTAGCATCCCACGGAACTTCAACAGGATATTCTATGAGCCATTTGGGATGCAGAAGGAACTAAGAATTTTTAATGGAGTTTATGTATATTCTTTCATCTTGGTTATCCTTAATAATACCTACTTCGTCAGTTCAAAGTACGGGATAGTAGAGTCCTCTCGTTTTTCAAAGGAGATGGCTTCGATCTTCCACTTCTTCTTGCTAAGATTCCATTTGGTATATGAGCTGTACTTCTTCTCAATAGGATTCATCTCCTGTATAAAGATATGGTCAATGTATTATCTTGCTGACTACAAAGGGTTTATGTTCCTTGAGGTCTTCAAGCTTATATACAGAAGGTGGTTCCCAATGGTATGAATCCTACTGTATTCCATATTCCTGTTTCAATTCACAGGAGGAGGTCCGCTTTTTCAGTTCTGACATAACAACTGGGTCATTGGTACTGAAAAATACCCCCATTGAAGCAAGTACTGGTGGGTCCCACTTGTGTTTGGATCGAGTATTTTTAATCCTAGATCAGGATCTCACTGACTGAGTTGGCTCTGGATTGTCTCAAATGAAGTCATTTTCTTCACCGTCTTGATGTTCATCTTCTACCTTTATAAGTTTAGAAGATGGCTTGGCTATTCAGTTCTGGTCTTGCTCATAATAGCTAATGTAGTTTCTACATTTGTGTTTTCCTATAAACTAGATTATGCATACAGAAATGAGATATCTAGAAGAGATTCAGCAATTATTGCACTAAATCCTTTGAATTCTTCAAGCAGCTTCCTACTTGGTGTAACTTTTGCTCTAATGTGGTTTTCATACAAGAATGGGAGGAATTCTTACCACCAGATTAGCTTAATAAGTCATTTTTACTCAAAGCTATTAGCTAATAAGCTCTTCAGAATTATTATAATGATCAGTGGAATTACCGTATGTCTGCTCATATTCTTTCTCCCCTATCCATTATTTACCACAGATGATGGTACAACAAAAAGTGTACTGAGCAGTATCCTAATATCTATTGAAAGACAAGTCTTCACAGCAGGAATTATCTTATTCCTAACCCCCTGTGTGCTTGGAAAAGCAAGGGCTTTTAGGTCCCTTCTAGGCAATAGAGCATTGATAGCATTTGCAAGACTAACAAACGCAGCTCTATTAGTGCATGGTATAATCCTCATGTGGTATTACTTTGGAAAATACCAAATACTCAGAATTAATGGGAGTGTAATCTTCATGTCTTTCATAGCTCTAACTATTCTTTCCTACTTTTTAGCGGTGATTTTTGCTCTAATGATTGAAACACCGCTTATAACTATGGAATCTTTATTATGGTGTCCCAGGAAGAGAAAATATCTAAGAGAAAGTCTTAATAGGCTTGGTATAAAGAGATATGAAAGTTTTAAACTTACTAAAGTAGCTAAAGAGACAGCCTCAAATACTAGTAAAAGTTCTAAAGGTTCGATGAAGGAAATTTCTTCCTACGAAAATTCGAAAATAAACTCTGTTGCTAACTGCGGTCATAAATTTATCAGGCGATCAAATTCCTTGGATGACGAAGTTGAATATAATGCTCCAAATGTAATGCCTAAGACTCTTCTAAATGATAGTGAAGGGTCTAAGAATTACACAAGTTTTAAAGAGCCTATGCTATCAGAGAACTAGACCCGTCCCAGCCAAAGTGATCGCTTTGGAACCAGTCCTGACCTCTTGGTCCACTTTGAAGGCCTAAGTGGCTGGAGCCTCATTGCTTGGTGCTTTAGGGCTTCTGAATGGAGACTGAGCGGACCAAGCCAAAGCATTGTTTTAGTGAAGATTTAATAACTCAATTGATTTTTTGTACCTTGGGGTTTTGGGGTTTTGGGGTTTTGGGGTTTTGGGGTTTTGGGGTTTTGGGG